GCACCACCTAACCAATGTTTCATTTCTAAAAATAATTCAAGGTGTTATCTTCTTCCAGCAATGGCAAACTAGGTGTTTTGCAGACCAACCCTCAATAGAAACAACCAAAAATGTGGGGCAAAATACACCACACACAAACAACACACACTCCTATATCTCCTACCTATCTGAAGGCACTGGAGACCTGCCAACACAGTAAAGACTAGAATGTTCTAGATTTCTGGAAGATAAATCAGCCCTCACCTTTGCCTTCTTTTCTGCTCAACCCTTTCCCAGTTTGAATCAATGGCTGAGACACTACCAAGCTGAGGTTCAGCAATCTCAGAATTATTATAGAGAGAAAATTTTTAAAAATGCATATGTAAGCACTTGGTAAATAACAAAACACAGCTGAAATAAATCTGTACTTGTGCATATCATTATTGTTACTATCTCTCAAAACGAAGCAATACTCCACTTCCTCTGGGGAAAGAGTAATTCATTAAATGCATAAGTGTAACTACCGTAGAGGACATTGTTTTGTGAAATATGTTTTGGATACTTAATAACTAGGAGGCTACAAGATAAAGTGAACATATTTTAAGCCTGATGTTAAGGTGCTAGGGTTTAATCTTAGCTGTAATGATAAATAGTTCCAGAATCTCAAATCAGTCATTTAAATGTTCCATGCCTCAATTTCCTTTCCCTGAAGTTAAGAATGTTAAATTAAATGTTCTCTAAGGGTCCCTCCTACTCTTAACTTTCACTATGCCCATCTCTGAGCACAAGGCTTCCAATTTAAGAAGAAGTGTCTGCAATCAACAGACAGCTTGATTGGAAAAAGATAATCACAAATAACTTGTAATTAAAGGAATTGTGCCAGTAGCTGGCCACACTGCAGACTCTACAACACTGGCCTCTCCCTGGCTGACCTTTAAGGGTGCTCGGCTCTGTTCTTTCCTTCACTCTCTCCTTTTTGAGTTGAGTCATCTGATATTAACACTCTGCTCTGAAGGCTGCCCTGGCCTCTCTCTGTCCAGATACTCACTGGGGCAGGCAAAAAGAATGGCACACACATTATGTATCTTTATATCTCCTGCAGCTTGCCAATGGTTCTGGATACTTTGACCCAAGAATGTATCCATTTTTGTAATCTATGCCATTATCTTGTTACCATGTACTTGATTACTTCTTTCTCTTACTAGTTATTCACTTTTTTTCTTTCTTCAATATGCTTCTGCACTGCTGGTGGGATTGCAAACTAATACATACCTTTTGGAAAGATGTTTGGAGAACACTTAGAGAACTAAAAATAGACCTGCCATTCAATCCTACAATTCCTTTACTAGGTATATATCCAAAAGACCAAAAATCACACTGTAACAAAGCTATTTGTACCAGAATGTTTATTGCAGCCCAATTCATAATTGCTAAGTCATGGAAGAAGCCTAAGTGCCCATCAACCCACGAATGGATCAATAAATTGTGGTAAATGTACGCCATGGAATATTATGCAGCCTTAAAGAAAGATGGAAACTTTACCTCTTTCATTTTACATGGATGGAGCTGGAACATAGTCTTCTTAGCAAAGTATCTCAAGAACGGAAGAAAAAGTATCCAATTTACTCAGCCCTACTAGGAAACAAATTTATAGCTTTCTTATGAAAGCTATAACCTGATTATAGCCCAAGAAGAAAGGGAAAGGGGAGAGGGAGGGGAGGGGGGAGGATGAGTGGAGGGAGGGTGATTGGTGGGACCACACGTACAGTGCATCTTACAAGGGCACATGTGAAACCTACTAAATGTAGAATATAAATGTCTTAACACAATAACTAAGAAAATGCCGTGAAGGCTATGTTAACCAGTTTGATGAAAATAATTGTTCCCCATGTCTGCATTACTGTACACAGCTATAATTTAATAAAATAAAGAAAATATGTTCTCCAATTAATGCACAGTTATCGCATTCATATTACCTACTCTTAATACCTGCAGGTCACAACTGGGGTGCCGTTTTGATCACAGAAATCTCCATCTCTGCCTTCCCTTACTTCTGTCCCCCAATCGTCTAGCAATGTCTTACAACTCAGTGTAACTCAAATTTTTCCTCTTCTGATCTTAAACTCCAAAATTTGGCTCTGTGACTTAATATTATGCCCTCTGACCACAACCATCTGTCCCTTCTGTCTCCATTCATTCAGTTCCAATGAACCTGTCCTTCAGTGGGTCTTTCTCATTCAAAAGTCATGGAATTATTCTGTACACACAGTAGCATTATATACGTGAATTAAAATCCCCATTCATTCCTTCGACAGATACTAACTAAATAAACACCTTTCAGTGCCTGACAGAATAGTAGACCCAGAGAAAACAAAGATGAATGACATCATGCCTCTACCTTCAAGTTCATTATTAGTGCAAGAGATCAGGAAGAAAGAGAAGTAACATAAGAGGTTATTTATGCTGTAGAAGGGCAAATAGTGAAATCATGAGCAAATAGAGACAGAAATGTAAAATCTGTCAGGTGTCTGTCCTGAGGCAGGCCGGGGTGCTGAAGAGGTCAGGTGGGCCTGGCGTTCATGAATACATCCCCTCCACAACCCCAAATAGAACCAGCACACTGGTCAGAGACGTGGATAACAGTCTGTATTCTGTCTTATAACCACCTTACCATGATACAGACCATTGACAAGTATTTGCTTAATCTATTTTAAATAAAATACTGCGCTATCTAATTTGGAAAACTAATTTTCCCCCAAATCTGTCCACGTATTGAACACAAGGGGAAAAATGAGAATTCCAAACTGATCTTTCTGTGTGTAGAAGGCATTCAGAGTAACCAGTCTGAAAAAAGAGTAAGAAGTGTACGACTTCAGGGGTTTTCAGGAGTTCAGACTAGATATTTTTAAATATATATATAAATGGACAGGATAATGTTTGGCTGTTATTCAATCAAACATTATGAAAATACTAAGATTTATCAATAAGTAAAAGTTTGTTATTCAATCAAACTTATGAAAATACTAAGATTTATCAATAAGTAAAAGTTTAATCTACTAAAAGGAAAACACTCATATTATACCATTGATCTTCAGAGTCAGAGGGTTTTTTTTTTTTTTTAAGACATGTAATCTTGCTGTGTTGCCCAGACTGCAGTGCAGTGGCTAATCACAGGCATGAGCACGAAACATTACAGCCTCAAATTCCTGGCTCAAGCAATCCTCCTGCCTTACCCTCCTGTTTAACTGGGACTATAGGCATGCCCAGCTAATTGCTTTTTTTTTCAGTTTTGTAGAGATAGGGTCTCACTATGTTGTCCAGGCTGGTTTCAAACTCCTGACCTCAAATGACCCTCCCACCTCAGCCTCCCAAGGAATGAGGACCATAGGCACATGCCCCTATGGCTGGCTGACCATGTTTTTATGTCTTAGAAGAAAACAGGAATAATATATTGTGCTAAGGGGAAAACTTACCAGAAGAAGCTTCCAGTCTTTCCAATCTGCTGATCAACCAGTCGAGGGAGCCGGAAAATTGAGCACAGTTTTTACGATTTCCTCTAATTAGAGCCGCTGCAAAAGGAGAAGCAGATTTCACGTTTATGTGACTTTTCCAGCTCAAAATTGAAGGTAAGTTAAGGGTAGCCCTAAAATACTAGATAAAGAACAAAATAGCTCCATGCTACATCTGAAATATGCAAATACATACACACATCCCTATACAAAACTGAGACATTAAAAGACAAACCGATATTTATTAATGAGGGCTAACAAAACCCCTGCTCATTAGAAGGAATATAATTTCAGAAAGTAACATTTCACACTGGGAGGTAATAATGAACAGTAATGGAAAAACAGGTGTCCTGGGAGTTCCCTCACTTGGGTTCTAATACCCATTGCTTTTAATTAGCCAGGAGATTAAATTGTTCCATCTCTCTCCAGCCCAATTTCCCCACTTCTATAATGAAGATGTGAAGAGCACATCAGTTGTCCTAAAGATACATCACAACATTGTAGGAGATTTATTAAATATCTAGTAATTATAACTCTAACCCGTATACAGAGATAAATGCATATATCTAAAAAATACATTGGAGAAAGGATGAGAGGGCCATTGGGCCACTGCGTTTGAAAATATTTTTTCTACCTCTTCACCCCCTTTGGAGATTCATGGTGCACGTCAATGACCCTAAAACACCCTGCAGGAGAGAGAGTTATTCTAACTTTATGTAGACTTCCGTTTTTCATATTTCTTTAACTAAAGAGCCCATCTTCTATAAAATTCCTAGGTGACTTTGATGATCTCTTTCCACCCAGTTTATACATTCAATTTGCAATTTTTTCAAAATCATTCCGTTCTTTTAAAGCAAATATTTCACACACTTCTACTCTTAACACCCCAAATATCATACAGAAATAGTACAACTATAAGGAAACAGATGGAAAATTTTCAAAATAATATGATATTTAAAGGAGGCAAAGTGCCTCCACAAGAAAAACCATTGTTTAAATTCTGGAAGCATCAAGAAGCAGTTCACAGAGTGACACTTGAGGCTGCTGTCTTTGTGCCTCCACGTCACCAGCAGGAGGCAGGAGACCCTCCAGTTAGAGCCTGTGATGAAACTTAAAGACATCCTTCACACTTTCAATCCCCTTCTTTTCTTTTTCTTTCTATTTATTGGGCTTAAGCAATCCTCCTGTCTCCGCCTCCTGACTAGCTGAGACTACAGGCAGTGACCACAAGGCCTGGCTAATTTTTCTAGTTTTAGTGGAGATAGGGTCTGGCTCTTGCTCAGGCTGATCTTGAACCTCAGAGCACAGGTGATCTACCTGCCTTGGCCTCCAAGAGGGCTAAGATTACAAGGATGAGCCAGTACACCTGCCTGAAAAAATATTTTTGAACAATACACAATTCTGCAATTCTTTACTTTTCAACAATTTAATTTCATCATGGTAAGAACTTATTCATCTTCCTTAAATGAAACTTCATGCCCCTTGGTTAGTAACTTCCCATTCCCTACCCCTAACCCCCTGGCAGCTACCATTCCCCTCTTTGCTTCTATGAATTCAATTGTCTTAGATACATCTTTGGAGTGAGATCATACAGCATTCGTTTTTCTTATTAGTATCATAACATCTCCTGGGGCGTCATGCTTCAGTGTCTTTTAACTTGTAGGTTCTACATTTTACAAAAGACACAAGGAACCTGAGAATCACAAATGGGTTTAGATTTAGAGATAGTCCAAGAAAACTCCTTTACTTTTAAAATTTATGGCTCGGCACCCATAGCTCAGTGGCTATGGCGCTGGCCACATACACAGGGTTTGAACACAGCCCAGGCCTGCTAAACAATAATGACAACTGCAAAAAAATAATAGCCAGGTTTTGTGTTGGGCGCCTATAGTTCCAGCTACTTGGGAGGCTGAGGCAAGAGAATCACTTAAGCCCAAGAGTTTGAGGTAGCTGTGACACCATAGCACTCTACTGAGAGTGACATAGTGAGACTCTGTTTCAAAAAATATATATATATTCAGCAAATATTAATCTGCTTTGTGTCAGACATTGGTCTAGATTGTAGAGCTATAGCAAGAGATCAAACAACATCCCTCCAGAAGCTCACATTCAAAGCCTGGAGATACTAAGTGAACAGGCTCTGAAGTGAGAGGCTGACAGAAATATAATCCAGAAATATTTCTTAAAATTTTGAGATTAACAAAGAGATGATCCTAAACCTCAAAAAACGTTAAAAAACAAATGAAAGAAGGGGCGGCAGCTGTGGCTCAAAGGAGTAGGGCGCCGGCCCCATATGCTGGAGGTGGTGGGTTCAAACCCAGCCTCAGCCAAAAACTGCAAAAAAAAAAAATGAAAGAAGACAAACCCCCTGAGTGTTACTAAAGGCTGTAAGAGTTCAAGTGCCACTGAACTGCTTGGAGAGCTTGGATGTCATTTCTACAACTGGGGGGCCCTGAAACCAGTTTTATGACTCCCGCCTAGGAAGGAGGCCAGGAGAAGATGAGACTATGAACAAGTTGGAGAAAAATAACACATCCTGTGTGTAAAATGCCTTTGCAGGATCTCTTGGAGAACAAGACAGGATCCATCTGCGTGCATAAACACTAACTCACAGAGCATGTCTGAGGCTCAGGCCTTTCTCCTTCCTCTCTTGACGGCCTCTGTGGACCCCGCACCACCACCAGCGTTTTATACCATGTAGGAAGATCTCCCTCCCAGAGACACTGGAAAAATGATCTGGATATGCAAAAATCCCTTTCTGCTACATTCTTTTCAAGCCATTTAGAACTGAAGCTGGACGTGGCAACTCAGCGCCCATAGCTCAGTGGTTACGGCACTGGCCATGTACAGCGAGGCTGGCAGGTTTCAACCCGACCCAGACTGGGTAAACAACAGTGACAACTGCCACAAAAAAATAGCCGGGTATTGTGGCAGGTGTCTGTAGTTTCAGCTACTTGGGAGGCAAGAGAATCACTTGAGCCCAAGAGTTTGAACTTGCTGTCAGCTGTGATGTCACAGTACTCTACCCAGG